CAAAACAAAACAAAACAAAACAAAACAAAACAAAACAAAACAGAGAAATTTCTTGAATAAATATATATATTTTGTTTTTTACCCTTTATCTTTAGGTTAATAAATGATTCTTGGTTTCCTCCGTCAGTGCTGGTGTAGCACTTGTATCTGCCTTCATCCTGAACCTCCACCATTTTCAGCTGCAGTGAGGCGTTTCCTGCGGCGATCTGGTCATTGAATAGTGATGTCCTGCCTCTGAAGCGCTCACTCTGGAGTTTGAGCTGGTCTTGGTTATTGTAGAATGAGTGGACATTAAGGTCTCCTGCTGATACCTGAGTCCAGTGGATGACTACATCACTGCCACTGTAGCTGCACCGTAACATGCAGCTTTCCATGAAAATGCAGGACACTTCAGTATCTGCAACAACAGGTAGAGACACATCATCAGCGTTTAGCCCTCTGATGTTGCAGAATTAAAAACTTTTCTCTCTCTTAATAAAGCCTTTTAACATTTTTCTGCTCCAGTTCAGGAAAATTTAACCCAAATATGCAGCACCGGTGTGGCGACTTTGATTAAATGATTTCCTGATATTCATCAAATGTCATCTTTTTCTGTGCTGTGCAGAGAACTTAAAAACATTAATGACACAATTTTCAAAGCAGGCATGACAACTGTTTTTGATAAATATATACTGTATCTTGCTTTATTTGACCCTTAGCTAAGTTATTTCATTTATTCATCAAGTTTTTTATGTTTGTAAAAGATCGGATTAGGCTGAAAACGTAAACATTTCCAGTTTTCTAGTATTTATTGAGTATTGAAGTATAAGTAAAGTGAAACACATACTGTTTCACATTGTCATGAATCTGCAGTTTTGTGTTAGTATATTTGAGTTCCTGTTTAGGTTTCCATTTATTCTTTGTAGGGTGAATTTTAATCCCTGCTGCAGGTCTTATTATTTTTGTAATGTTAAATCACAGTTTTATTGCATTATGCGGGTTCTAGCTACTGTTGATTATCTATAGAGTTTAGATGTTTTAAAACTCCAGTCCTAGTTTTGCACCCTCGTTCTTTATTCAACATAATTTAGAAAAACATAAATTGGTCATATGTGCATGTTTTCCAGCCTTTAACATTATAATAAATTAAATCATTTAGATTAATCCAGGAAAGGAAACAGAAAAAAAGCTATGAGATGAGAAAAATAACACAGGCGACAAAATAAAATATGTTTTGTTGCTTTTGTTTTCATAGGTTTAAAATCTCAAACACTGACAGCTGGCTGTACTACAGACTCTATTTCCTGCTCTTTACACTCTGGATTACTTAAAGAATATGTCATGGGCCTGGGTGACCCAGAGATCACGTGTTATTTTTGAGTTTAATGAATATTAAGAGTTTTATTCGTCTTTCTTAATCCTTTATGGTTGTTTGTGGTGTGATCTGCCCCTGGTCCCTCGTTTCACCGTGTGTGGTTGTGTCAGTTTTGCTGCCCCACCAGGCCTGGAGAGTCCCTGCCTTGGAGCCACCCACACCTGGGATAATCACTCACTTGTTGCTGATCTGCTTAATCAAGGAGCTCTACTTAAGAGAGCAGTGGAGCAGCAGTCAGTGTGGGATTGTTAAACTTGGAATTCAGTTAGTGCTCAGCGCATATAGTCGTGTTGGCATGGTTAATGTGTTTTGTCGGCCGGTGGATAGGACGGTACTCATTATGGCATCTCTTGTTTTCAGGGTGATTACAGAAACGTGTGGAGGGAGCAGCACACTGTTAAACACATGCACCGAGGAGGACTAAACATTACCACGCATCACAGAGAGGAATCACGGCATGGGGAATTGGGAGAGCACAAACTGGATTGTTGGCACTGTTTTTCTGTTTTTTCTGTGAAAAAAAAACAACACACTTTCTCCATTGTAAAAGTCCAACATTTGGGTTCTCCTTCAGCCAATATGTTTCACTGACCTGTCAGTGAGCACAAACTCACTGCCTACATCCAAACACAGTTTAAACCACCTTCCCATTTTATAGATCTCATAGTTTGTATACTACGAGTATAGTTTGTGAAATTCCCACCTCCACTCCCACACACTGAATGTTTTCAGTGTTATTCAGTCCGTTTCCAATAATTACATTTCCTGGAAGTTTGGGCATTTTTTTTCAATGA